GGGGGTGGATTTTGTTTCTAAATAAATTTAGCCAATCTATATAACTGGAATACAGTGGATTTCACCAATTAATGCCTACTTTGTTCATCATGATAAAAGAAAAAAATCTTTGGTGTTGATCAAAGATTAATATAGCAAAAACCTTTTAGCAGCAATCTCCAAATGCGACCTAGTCAAATGCTAGCTAATCAGTCTAGGAATGTGAATCCTTAATTAGGACAAAGATTGCCCATAAATGGTTCTCAACTATGGCTGGACATTGGAATCATCTAAGGAGATTTAAGAATTGATGTCTGAGTGCCACATCAGAGATTCTGATTTCATTGGTTTGGAGTACAGTCTGGTCTTGTGGATTTTTACAACCTCTGCATGTGTTTCTAGTGTATAGCCACCATCTAGAAGCTCTGCAATAGAACCTAGCTTCTTTGAACCAAACATACATATACTACTCTGAATTTGTTGTAAATTTCTGACATTCTTTATTTGATCCTCATTCTACCAACAACACTAAAATATTTCCAGTTTTTGAGAAAGCAATTAAAAAGTAATAACTTTTTAAAGATTCTCACTTGCTTTCTTCTGACTCATTTTCCTCTGATTTGTTCACCACAAGTGGATAAAGTCAATTATGCCTATTTTTTTTGATATCTGCTTTAAAATTGTTTTTATCCTTTGTGTACAGTTGGTTGTCTTTTGTATAGTTACTATATAATAAAGATTATGACCCCCCCCCCAGAGTTTTTGAAAGACAAATTTGACAGAGGCTCATGTAAAGGAGTAAGTTATTGAGATTAAAATCTTTTATCATCAGTTATTAAAAACAACTTTTTCACATTTTATCTTTTCTGAAATTGGTGTGCATCTTACAGTTGCTGACATTTTACTATTGCCTTAGTGAAATGGCAGTTTTGAGTATACAAATCTTTGTTGACACATTTTAGTAAGATTAAGAAAGTACTGTATAGCATCAAAGCATCTTAGTGTACTATGGTAATAATTCAGCTGGTCTTACTGAAAAGCAACTGAAAACCTGTTCATCCTTGTAGGCCATCCTTTTGCTCTTTTTCAGTTTCTGTGTGTGTGTTTTTTTTTCCTTAGGTATTAAACAGCCTCAATTTCTGAAACAGTTATTAATCAGCCTCTGCTGCTATTAAGTAGAATAGTCCAATCCCCTGACCCCTCTGCTGCTATTAAGTAGAATAGTCCAATCCCCTGGCTCTCTAATTTATATCTGGTCAGAGTAGATAAGGATTTTCATTTCCAGTAGAAGAAATGATCTAACTTCTCTTTCATCTGTTTCTAAATCACACTTTATATCTTACTTTATTAAATGTGAGCTTTTTTTCCCTGTCATAAACTTATTCACATTTCCCATGTTAAAATTTTAAAAACTTCAGACATAATATTATATAGTATATTTGTACCATAATTTGATGAACACTTCTGGTCTTTGCTATTTGTTTTTTCCATTTTTAGTAGATTTTTTAAAGAAGGCTGCAGTGAATAATCTTTGGATATGAAAAGTATTTGGTTTATTTTATTAGGATGGATTTTCTGAAGTCCTTCTTACTGGGTCAGAAGCATACGAACTTTTTGAAAGTTTTTGATACTTTTTGACAGACTATATTCTGATACAGTTGTGCTTTAAGAATTAAGCGGCCCTGTTTAGGGAATTTCTTCCTGCCTCTATCTCATGCATAGTTACTGCAGCAAGTGCCTCATAGGATACATTTTTGAGGCATGAGATAGATTAGGAGTGGGGGAGTAATAGCAAAATAGTTAGGGTTCCTTTAACTTTATTAGAAAACCAAAAAATTTAAAACTTCGTTTTGACATAAGAAGGTAAGTTTTAATGTGTTTACTTTTTAAAAACCAGGATAAATGTTTTAGGAAGCTCTACGGTGAGGTATATTTTATTTAAAATATGCTGTCAGTTATCAGATTAGCATTCTCTTTTAAAAAAAAAAAGCTAATATAGGGAGCTTTTTTACTTTTGTAGTTTCATGGTTACTACTATACTATACATAGAACTCAGTATATGAACTATTATTTTTGTAATTTGAAAAATTATCTTTGACTTGTAGTGATCAAGTGAGGATAATGTAAATTAGGCACTATATTTCTATTTTTGATTATTTTTATTCTCAGTTACAGTTGGCATACAATATTATATTAGTTTCAGATGTACAACATAGTGAATAGACATTTATATAATGTATGAAGTGATCACCCTGATAAATCTAGTACCCATCTGACACCATACATAATTATTACAGAATTATTGACTATATTCCATGTTGTAACTATTTTGTAACTACCT